GTTTTAGAAATAAAAACTTACTACCTGAAGTGCCCGGCGTTGCCCATGGAATTGAAAAAAAACAATTTTGAAGAAAAAATTATTTTTTAAAGAAAAATTTGTTTTTCAAAAAGTCTAGGAACTCAACGTTTTATTTTAAATTTTTTTCTTTAGAAAGTTATTAAAATAGAACAACAGCCACTAGAACTCTTGATTAATTGATTGATTGTTATCAATGAGATAAGAAGAGAACTTCAAAACTGCCCCCACTGTTAATATCGAAATCAAGCAGCCGGGATTTTGGGTATTCAACACAAGCGTTCCAGGCTCCGTTTCTTGGAAATAAAAATTGTGCACAGTGGTAAGCGATAATATCAATACAATTAGACGACTTTCGATTTCAATTTTGTTTTAAATCAAGCTGTTAAACGGTATGGATACATTTAAAACTAGAAGTCAAGAATGGCTATCAATTAAAAAAGCTTCTCTTTGATTAACTGTAAACTTGTAATTCGAAAAAAGAATGTAACGATCAAAATTTAATAAAAATGTCGTCTACTGTATTGATATAATAGCCTACCCCTTTATTTATATATATGGTTATTGAACAGGAGTTTTATTTTTTATAACCCCTTTATGCCATTTAAAAAAGAATGATTGTCATTTTAAGTGTAGACTATATACTTAGTATAAAGTATGGGAACATTGAGAGAAGAAATGGCTGTTATATATGTAGTAGTTTGAGTCTATATAAATATTAGAATAAAGGAAGAAAAGTTTATTTATAGAGTCTATGAAAACTAAAACACTTGAACCTTTAATTTAGAGGGTGGGGCTCATAAAACTGTGGAAAAGCGGGAGAGGCAGATTTTACGAAATTACAAATTTTGAAATGAAAAGAAGTCTGAACGCTCTCGTGCAAGCCGTTTTTAAGTTATTGCCCCCCCCCCTTCCCAATAGGTATAGGGAAAAATTTCATCAAAGTTGATATTCCTAAAGCTGCTCTGCTGAAAAGTGCTATCGAAGAAAAAATAAATGGAATGAGAGAAACCATTTTCAATCTAATTTTAATAAAAGACGACCTCTTTAATTCTCATGTTTATGATCTATTAAATGCACTGTTGACATAAGTAAAAGTAACCCTCTAGAAACAGATCGGATTCCCAAATCGCAATGGAACCCTTTAAACCTTTATCTGTGTAATAATGAGGAATGCATATTCAGTTTTATGTAAACGTGTTGAATTCTGACAATTTTTTCATTAATTTGACGTGTAAATCACTTTTACTGAGAAACCTCTTTTGTAAAAAATCAATTTTTCAAGAGAAAACGAAGTGTTAATGCCCCTTTATAAGTGCTGTTGTCACTTAAAATAATGTTTACAATCTCTTTAATGCTAAAACCATGTTGCCCCGCAGTAGACTCTGCTTTACTGGGCTTAGAGTCAACAAAGATCATTTAATTGCTAATATGGTAAACCACTAATACTGGAAAGTAATATATACCTTTAACTGTGACTATGAGGGGGGGGGGTCCAGATGCGTTCAGAGGGGGCACCCTGAACTAACGAGAGAGAGAAGCATTCGGTTTCTTTTATTTGAAATCAACCGTGTTTTCGTCTATAACTCAACAGTCTTTAGACTTACAGATTTGTTTATTTTATACTTTTTCATTCAAAATATATATGCCAACAAAAAAGTATTTCAGATAAAAGGCTATAAAATTATGTAAAAGGGGTCAAATTGTGATCGAAAGTCACAGTTTTCTGAAATATTGACAGAACTGTTAAATCCCCCCATCCCCATCCCCCCTCCCCTGATCAAGCTGAAATCTATTGTTTTCCTGCTCTCTACATTTAATTCTAATTTGAACTAAAAAGGAATTGAGTCTTTGCAACAAACTTTAATTCTCTAATCCCTATATCTTTACCACCCATTTTCATAGACCTTAGAGGCTTTAAAAACTGGAAACCATAGATTTCTCAGTAGACTGTATAGTGCATACACCCTAGAATGATATAGAGAAGAACATAGTTTTTATGTAAGTGATTTCAAGTCCTCTTTGTGTTTTATGATTAACAATGATAACTCCCCAAATTCTATATTTTACTTAAATTACTAAAGTTTGAATTATCAAAGGTTAGCACCATCAAGTTTCAAAGATTTAGGTACTATAAAATGTTTGCGGATTTTATCATATTTTTTCGTGAATTTTTAAATTTTATGAAAATCTAAATTTTTTGGAGACAAATTTTTGCAATTCTTAGCATCCAAAAATTTTCCCTGGGGCCATGTGAGTTGCCTCAAAAATGTTCGGTCCGATCGGTTCAGTTGCTTTGAAGTAAAAACTGACAAACACGCACCCAGACAATCAAAGTTTATATATATATAGATAATATATAGAACGCACTGCGTTAGCGTTTAAAGAACTATTTTATGGTTTGAAACAAACATTAAGTCACGCTGTTTAACCAGAAATATGTTTTAGAAATTTATTTTCAAGCAAGGCTTTTCAAAAAGCATGGATCCACGTAGATTTTTTTCATTACAAAAATAAAGTAATATTCCAGTAAAACCCACAATTGAGCTTTCCGAAATGTAGTCTGCGTTTTTTACCATTAAAATTTATCAAGATCAAGTTTGAATTTTTTTTTTCTAAGTAAAATCAAAATTGTACAGAAATCTATTCTAAAGCGCAAACTCCGAGCTCCTATTATATCACTATATATTTGCAACCAAATATCAAAGGTTTCCATTATCAGTTTACAAAGATATAGGGATTAGAAAATTTGGCAAAGACTGAATACCTTTCTATGAAGTAAAGAAGCTAGAAAGCATAAAATGACCTTTTTGTAATACAATCTTAAATAAGTGAACAGTCAAATATCAAAGACGATCTAAATGTCATCTCTAAAGAAACTGAGTTTTTGCCGCAAACTTTAATTTTTTCAAATATTGTATTGAGATGTCGAAGACCTTTGATTTTTTAACTATGAATTCTGTGAGATCAAATAGTCTAAATTGGAAATATTAAAGGTTTATACACCATCATGTTGTAAAGATATAGGGATATTTAATTTTTGGAAATATTAAAGGTTTATACACCATCATGTTGTAAAGATATAGGGATATTTAATTAAAGGTTTTTACACCATCATGTTGTAAAAATATAGGGATATTTAATGAAAGGTTTATACACCATCATGTTGTAAAAATATAGGGATATTTAATTAAAGAGTTTCTTTTCATGTTTATTGAAACAGCCTGTATTTTAGTAATTTAGCTTTCTCAATAATTGCAAACATACACGGTAGAGACAAATTTCCGGGCAAATTTAAACTTGAATAAATGTTATAAATTAGAAATTCTATAGCAAAATTTCTGAATTAAGTAAAGTAAGAACCACCATTGCTTCAAATATGTGTCTATATATAAAAAGTTTAAGTGGGTTGTTTGTTTGTTAGTATGGATGTCTGATCATAACTCATGAACCCCTAGACCGTTTTTGCCCCTAATTTTGATTGGAGAAACAGGGTCACCCAGCAAGAACTAGTACAGAGAACGCAGAATTTTTTATCTCTTATTCATACATTCATGGTTCCTCTGCAGACAAAGCATCTATTATACAGGGTGTCCCAATAAACATGGGAATTAAGAGACGACTTGAAAGTCTTCTTTAATTTCGATAATTGATAAAAGGACAAAAAGTGTATCATGAAAAGATTGTATGTCTTCTGAGCTCTGCCTTGCAACCTTCTTTTATATTTAAAATTGACTAAATTTAATAATTGGAAATTTGGGCAGATTTGTCTATAACTCTGTCAATTTTGATGATGCAAAAATGGTAGATCATAATTTTGGATGTAAATTGTTTTAGCTGAAATACTCCTAAAATCAGGTTTATTGGGACACCTTGTACCATTAAAAGACTTTTGAAATGCAAATTAAAACTAGGTCTTTTTCTTTATCCTTAAACAGAAAACTAATTTAATTGTCAGCTTTATCTGCTTTTCTATTTTGGTTCTCAGACATATCTTAAATTAGGAAACGCAAAATTTGTAAATTGGACAATGCCAACTTTGCATGCAGGGGTCACTTGTAAGTTTACAGTCCCTTTAAAGGGAGTGTTCGCGAAAAATTATAGGGGGTATAGGCTTACGACGAAAAATAAACGCTTTTGATTGCTACTAATCTTACTCTATCTGTTGGGTCTATAAGGAGGAAATTGTTAAAAACTACTTTTGCTGAATAACGTAGCATCCATCCAATTTGAGAACATTGCAATATACAAATTCAAATTCAAATTCAAACAAATCATTCAGATATTACAACCTATAGTCATCGATTATTTTTCGCCACATTTGTATATAGTTAATTTTTCATATTATTTTTTTCTTTTTTTATATACAATGCACTTAAAACAACTATTTATTGCCACTAGGTGTCTCTCCCACGTGGAATTGTTAAGAGCATCAAGAGCAAAGACACCTGCCGGTCAAACTAATTGGCGTTTTATAAAACAAATACAAAATATTATGAAATATCACTATATGCGAATGCATCAAAAAATAATCGATGACTAAAGGTTGTAATATCTAAATAATTTTTTTGATATTAAATTTATTTTTTATGATCCAAGTCATGGATTACAATTTTCTCAATTTGGATGGATGCTACATTATTTGGTACAAGTTATTTTTAACAGTTTTCTCCTTTTAGACGCAACAGATAGAAAATAAGATCAGTAGCGATCAAAAGCGCTTATTTTTCGCCGTATGCCTATACCCCCTTTCATTAATCACGAACACTCCCTTTAAGGATACACTGGAGGTATGTAAAATGTCTAAAAATAGTTCAACCAATTAAACAATTTGATTAAATTTGGCTTATAGTTTTACTTCATTTACATATAAGGCATTGTATGTTAGCACTTTCTTCAATCAGTTATTTAAATCCATATTAAATTTATATACAATAATACATACTTCAATTTTTAACATTAATAAGCTCAGTATAAAAGTATTAATATCAAAAATCTATTTATTCAAAGGTACATGTATCTTTATCATGGTTTCTAGAAAGTGCTTGTGGCATTCATTATTTTAACTATCAGTCTCATTTTGATATGCTTATTGGAAAATTTAGCTCTCCTCTGTAACTGTATTTGTTATGGTTCCCATTGCTAATGTTAAGCTTGTAATGGTGCTTTCAGTGTCAAAGTTTGACCGTTCAATGTGCTTTTGGATTTACCGGATACAATTGATGATAAGAGGGATTCCACAACCAGCTTCTCAACTCTAACACTGGGAGATTCAAACACTACCGCAAATACAAACGCAACAGTTAATGATATCAACAATGTCCCAAGAAAGTACCAAACTTGAGTCCACATGCTAAAATCATTTGGGAATGAACTAAGAACTGATGCTTCAAACATTTTAATTATCTCCATGTGAATGAGGTATGTGCAAAAGGTTAATCTGGCCAATGGTGCAAACGCAGACCAGGAAAGGAAATCATTGACCATTCCTCCATAACCTTTGGCACAACTAAAAATAACCCAAGCAAGAGCTCCATTCCATGCCAGTCGTTGAAATGTATTATACATCGTGGCTGCAAACAAAGTCATTTCTTGAGAAGCTCTAACATTATAAAGACCATATACCACCCCAAAAGCCCCAAGAAATGCCACCTGCCACATCAGGATGTTTACTTTCTCATCAATTGTAACTGTCTTTCCTCTGGTATGATGCAGGATGTATCCTAATAGTATTCCAACCAGATATGCCTGGTATCTTGTCCAAGGAGCAAAGTAGAAACTTACATGATAGGTATAATTTGTTTCTAGGCCAGGAACATTGGTAGCTGTTGAAGGAGGTTGGTGGGTCGTATACGCTATGTAGAACACACAAAATGTAAAGCAAAGAGTAGCAAATGACCACCAGGCAAGTCCATACAGATGTCTTTTGGTCTTCTTGTATGCAAAGAACATTGGGTATATAATGAGAGGTGAAAACCAATGAAACACCATGTCATCTACTAAATACCATGTAACTATCATGCATGTGTTGTTGTTTTGATCTGCGGTTGATTTCAGTAATGTATGAATGTAAAGTAAATGGGCCCATCCATTAGTTTTACAGTCCTCCCCTGCCCTGACCACTGTGGCCCAACCAGGTCCATAAAATGTGTACGGTAATACAGATATTACTACTCCCATTATTAGAACATATGGCAGGGTTAGCCTCAGATACCTATGAACGTAGTACATGATAAATGTGATGGTGTGCTTTGTTCCATCGTACCCACATTTATCTAATTCTTTAAACAAGATAAAGGCTGTTAAAATTCCAGACATTAAAAAGAATGTGTCTACTGATGGAAGTGCATTAAGAACTGCTTCGAATGCCATACCTGCACCCCCAGTGAATAATGGAAGTATTGTTCCAATGTTTCTGGCCGCCAAAGATGATGTAAAACTATGACCTAAGACAACCCAGGTCATACTGATAAACCTCATACCATTCAAACAGCCAAGATGGTCTGAGCCAGCAGCTGTTGTAGATAACAGACGTTTTCCATTTGTGTAAGCTGAAAAACAAAGAACAATTTTTAAAAAGAATGATGTTTCTTTCTTGTCTTTACTAAGATGAGGTTGAAGTAGATCATACAATGTCCCAGCAATTGTAAACACACCAATAAGTGCAAAAACTGCATAAAACAAAATATTCACAAGAGGCATTTTGTCTGGTACACCACTTCTGTTTTCATTAGTAAAGCAGATTTTAGCCGTTGTCTCAATTGTCAGGTTACTGGTCAAGGGTATTTGAAATGTTGTTCCATTTAATGTGATCTCTATAGGGTTAAAAGAATTTGCAGTCAGCACCTTATAGTTTTCATTAATATCTTCAGCAGAACAGCTTTTAGGAAAACACATTCCAATCTGAGGTTGACCAATAGCACTGTAGACAGAAACAAAAAGTAATAGAATCTGCTCCTGTAGATTTTCCATTTCTTCATCTATGTCCAAAGCTTCAGAGATAAGTTCTAAAGTTTTGTTGAAATTTTGAGGATCTAACAGATTCAAAGCTGGTAACTGTGGACTTAAATTTTTTGAACGTCTAAAAAGATCAATTTTCTGAAGAAGTTGAGAATAATTTTCAAGGTTTGGAATAAAATTTCGCCCTCCAGGTCGAGTTGGAAGACCACCACCTATTCCAATATCAGGCCCTTTTAGTTTTACAGTACAGTATCTTGTTTCTAATTCAGTGGTTGAGAGACATTCTTCATAGCTTCCAGGGTTTGAAGTAAACCCAATCGGAAGTTTTAAAGTTACATATCTTATAGCATTGGGTAAAGAACAAGAGTCTAAATTTAATATTTGGCATAAGTCAAGAGGACCAATATCTATTGAATCTGAGAGAAATCCCTCCATGGGCAATCTTCCATTGGCATCAAACATCTGAAGTGCAGGAGGAATGCCTGGTGTTGGGTCTGCCCTCCCTTTTGGTATAATTGAGATGAGCTGATCTCTGTAGAGGATACTATCCTGTTCACACTGCTCTGAGATGTTGCCAAACAAAGGAGTAAGCCAAGCAAACTGGTCCATGTCTAGAGTAGTGGCATCTGAAGTCTCTTGTCCATAACTATTAAGAAAAGTGTGCTTAGTATTAGCATTAGTACATTGCAAGAAGCTTTTCAAACTATTAAATTTTGTATCTTGCTTAAAATTAAAATGAAATACAGGTAATATTTGCCTAGTTGGAAACCTAACTCCCAAACTGGATAATTCTAACCCTTTTAATACCAAGAGGCCAATATTGGCTTTATCTTAGAAAGCCAACAGCTTTTTATTGAGAAGTGACAGAAATGCTAATAACCCTAAGTAATAAAGACAAAAATATATTTTTTTGTAAACTAAATAATAAAAATAAATATGAAATCTGGCGCATAACAAGTCCAATATTTTTATTATGTAAGGTATTTGGTCAAAAATGGCTTTTACGTAAAAGAATCAGTGCACATCACACAAGATTTCTTTCTATGCTAGTAAATTTCTTTAAAATAATGTCATAAAAGCATTAAACCAGAGATATATCAATGCAATGAATGTTAAGTTATAAAATAACAATACATAATTTTTTGTACAAATATGACTACCTTATAGATAGGAAGAAACCAAACTGGAAAACTGATTTCATCCACATTGTGTGGGCTACTGAAAATTTTATACTGGCATTTATTTCATGAATGATATTTATATAAATATAAGATAAGATATAATATTCATAAGATGAGTACACAACACACTTGACAAAAAGAATAATAATAATATGTTTTAAGAATTACATCTCCCAGTGAATGGCAGGGGGGGGGGGTCGATATTTTTTTTTTTTGGGAGGGAATGATACTTTTTACCTAAAAATTAATTTATTAATCCCTTACAGTCCGTTATTTCCCCCAATTCAGAAAAAAATAAAACTAAGTTACTATTAAACTCGATGAAAAATTTTGTTTAAGAGGAAAAAAGAAATCATTTTATTATTAAAAAACTAATAGAAAAGTATCCGAAAGAGGGAACTATCCCAATTTTCTAGAATTACAAAGATTCTAAGCAATTTAAACCAAATATAAAAAGTAAACACACCAACACCTACATGTTTTTTACAAACTAAAAACCTATACAATTTTTGATGTATGGGACATTTTTCTTATATAATATGATGAAGTATACAGATGTACTTTATCTTATCTTTTCATTAGGTCAGATGTGTGTATTGTGTATTCTCTTCATATTATGCAAGGAATCCTATTAATTATTAATTATATAGTTAAAGGGAGTGACCGGCAATGTCTAGTGGTTGAATTGAGATTGCAGTATTGTACAGATTTTTTTTAGGATTCATTTGAGAGATATAAAACGTTTTAAAGATCTATAATTACTGAATTTGAGCTCAAAGCCGGCGTTTTAAATCATCAGTTTAGGTGGGTACATTTTGAGAAAATAAAAATTATCTCTTATCATCAAAAATAAATAATCTTTTTCAATTATTTGTTTCTGTAATCTCTCATTATTCACAAAGATTTGTTGCAGATTTTCTGGAATTTTTACTGAAAGACGACTTTTGACGAATTTGTAGAAAACTGCGAACAAATTCATAGAAAATAAGAATTTCAATATAATGATGAAATCGAAATAATTGATTCTAACATCGATTTATGTACAAATTTCTTTGGAGAAATATGTTCCTAAACAACTTATTAGCTTACTATAGTATTTTTACTATATCTTTTGTAGAAGTTATTTAATAATTTTTAAAAAACAGATTCTCAAAACGTACCCACCAAAATTGATGATTTTAAACGTCGATTTTGATGAACTTACAGAGTACCATTTTTTGCGAGCAAACTAAATGCGAAAATTATTTTGCGAAATTTTGGCAGTTTTTTGTGAAAACTTTTGCATTTTCTATTTCGCGAAAATTTCGCATTTTTTGCGAAGCAGATAGAAGCAAAATTTCGCGCAAATTTTAACATTTTTTGTAAGCAAACGAAATGCAAAAATGATGCGAAATGGTTGCCAATATCGACACAGCTCTTTTTTATCTATAATGATGGACAAATATCTATAATCTTACTCTGAGTCTGCTTTGGCTGTACAATGATAAAGGCCCTAAGGCCTTGGCAATATCTATGCATGGCAGCTCTTTTTTCATCTAAAGAGGCAAAGATCTATGATCTTACTCTGATCCATCTATACAATAATAAGTGTCCTAACTCCTGACCTCGCCAATATCTATGCAGCTGTTTTTTATCTATAATGATGGACAAATTTCAATGATTTATTATGATATATGTTTCAGAAGAATCTGTGTGAAATGAAAAGTACCGATCTTTACTGAAACTAATGCAGTAAAACATACCATTGGCAACCTGCCCCATTCTGCAACCCCAAATAGATTCTAGTACAATAGATGGCATCATAAAATGTGTACACTCTCAGTACAGCTTTATTCTGACGTCACAAGTGTCAATTCAGTTTTTGTGATAGTGATAGTTTTAGAAGAAAATGCTTAACTTACAGAAACATAAGAGCAATCAAATAATGTGAGAAATTTTCGTTTTCCTTGTTATATTTGACACTTGTGACGTAGTGTATAATTGGTAGATTTCTCGTTGCCACCTATTGTATTTAATAATCTATTTGCACCACCCTTGGACACACTTTACTCGTAGATCTGCTGATGTTAAAACTGTTCATTTTTCAGGATTTTTTATAAACATAACGGTAAAAAATCTTTCTTACGGGAATCTGAAAAGACAGATTTCTGTCTGTTATATGTACGGTTAATATATGTAGGAAAAAAGTTCAAACTGAATTTGCTGTAGGCTTTTATAGAAACTACTTTCAGTCATAAATTTGGCGTCAAACCTTATAGAAATCCAACGTATGGACCCGCTGCGTATAGCAACATGGCGTATTTTCCGGGAGAACATTTTTTATATTTTTGAAAAATTAAACGTTTTTTGTAAAATATTGTAGCTTATCATTATCATTATCATAAATTCTATTTTTTTTAACATAAACTAGACATTAAAGGAGCAAAATAGTTTAATATGTACATTTTAGGTTTGGAAAAAATTCGTAAAAGTATAAAAAAAGTTCTCCAGTAATGCTAATAAGATTTCATAAAATGTTGTTTTACCATTTAAATAAAAGGATTTTATGAAAAATTTTATTTACTTTACACTGATAATTTAATTTTTCAAAAATATAAAAAATGTTCTCGCGGAAAATACGCCATGTTGCTTACGTTACGCCATACGTTAGATTTCTATAAGGTTTGACGCCTATAAATTTATTGTACAAAAACTTTTAAAAATATTTCTTCAGCATAGAAAATAGAAGCTTATTTTAGATTTTCATTCAAAATACTCAATGCCACACCTGCAATTCCACTCATATGATTCAACAAGGACTGAATGTCACATAGGCAATTCTAGATGCCACAAAGGCAACTCTCAATGCCATGTAGGCAATTCCACCCATATAATTCAAATAGGACCGAATGCCACACAGGCAATTCTAGATGCCACACAGGCAACTTTCAATGCCATGCAGGCAATTCTAGATGCCACACAGGCAACTCTCAATGCCAATGCAGGCAATTCCACTCGTTTAATTCGAGGATTGAATGCCGCTCAGGCAGTTCTAGATGCCACACAGGGAACTCTCAATGCCAATGCAGGCAATTCCACTCGTTTAATTCAACGAGGATTGAATGCCGCTCAGGCAATTCTAGATGCCACACAGGCAACTCTCAATGCCTGCCACAAAGTTAACACTAAATGCCAGTACTGAAAGTCAATAAGGCAATCCAACTTATAATGTATAATTCAACAAGTACCAAGCTGTCTTTCAAGCTTACTTAGGGTTCAGATAACATAATTAAAAGCAGAGTCTGAATCAACTAACTTTATTTTATAGCTTATATTACAAAGTTAACAAGAGTTGACGTTGTTCAATTCCTATGATGATATCTATATCACATGAATAAGACCATCGTATTACATATTTCACAAGATTAGAGAAAATGTATACCACACAGTATAATTATCTACGTACATGTTTTATAGCATAATTCAATTATGTCGCATGAACTAAGCTAATCACATTAAATTTTCAATTGAATCTAGGGTTTCCAATTGGAATTCCGTTGCACGGAATTGCGAGCAATGTTTGCTTCCGCTAGCGATATTTAATTGCGCGCAATTGCACTATAATTGCAAAAAAGGAAGAAATTAAATATTTGCGGAATTGCATGGAATTGCGTGAAATTGCGCGGAATTGCGTGCATTGGAATTACTTTTCTAACTAAAAATCAATAATTTTAACTGTTCGACTTACAAATTTATGCAGCAGATACAAGAATGGAATTAAATATCTCTGTTGATTTTAAAATAATCGAGGCCCATGTGTCACTTGTTTCAACAGTTTTCAAGTTTTAATGTTTCTTGTGGTGAAGCTACTAATTAACAATTTAATATGATAAATTTTTCATTTGTTCATATTGGATATTGGATATTGGTTAAAATTGTAGGGTTCGTTTAATCAAAATCAGATATTTTGCTACAGTGAGAACCAGAAAACTATGGTACAGAAAGACAACATCACAATGTATTTGATGTAGGGATGTTAACGTTTTCATTTTTCAGAGAAACGATCGTTTCGTTTTGAAAACGACGACGAAAAATCAAAAACTAAACGATCAATTTTTTTAAAAAGTTCGTTTTTTAAAAATGGTCGTTTTTAAAACGATCGTTTTTCAAAACGCTTGTTTTTCAAAACGATCATTTTTCAAAAAGATCGTTTTTATAAAATTCGTCGTTTTGTAAACGATCGTTAACGACAACCCTTCGTTAACGATCGTTAACGACAAACCTTCGTTAACGATCGTTAACGACGACCCTTTGTTAACAATCTTTAACGACGAACCTTCGTTAACGATCGTTAACAATGACACTTTGTTAAAGATCGTTAACGACAACCCTTTGTTAACGATCGTTAACGACAACCCTTCGTTCACAATCGTTAACGACGACCCCTTCGTTAACGATCGTTAAAGAAGAGAGGAAACCGACCTGAAGGACATCTGTACTTATCATTGAGTAGTTTTAAAGAAAATATCAAGGAGTTTTAACTCCCCCACAACTGTGAAACTTCATGTAAGACGACATTCAATAAAGTTGCATGTAATTTTTTTCCAAAAATGACCGTTTTGATAAAGTTCGTCGTTTTGTTAATGATCGTTAACGACGACCCTTCATTAATGATCGTTAATGACTTCCCTTCGTTAACGATCGTTAACATAATTGTCAATACATTTTTTTAAAAACAATCGTATAAAAAACGGTCGCAAATCGTTTTAATACAAACAATCGTTTTCAAAAATGATCGCTATTCGTTTTCTAAAAGTTCAAAACGAGTGGGTCGTTTTTAAAAACGATCGTTTTTTAAAACGAAACAAAAAAAGATCGCTTAACGATCGTTTAACGATCATTTACAAAAACGATTAACAACCCTAATTTGATGTAGTTACAAGTCAAACCAAATTAATTAGTAACTTATTAAATCACTTGTCCAGTTACATGGGTCTGCTTGAGTCTGAACTGTCGTCTTCCTATGCCAGAGTTTTCTGGTTATCATGCTGCTAATGAATATTATAAAACAAAAGATTAAGTTTACATTCAATTTTATTAGCATTTGAGACTGAAATGTTAGTGCAGTTCAGTTTATTGTACGTATGCCACTACATAAGTTTAAATTGAATTTTTTGTGTATATGATTTTAAAAAGTTGTATAGCAAAAAATGATTTAATTACTGTTTCTTAAATGTCGAAAAAATGTCAAGGTGATAGTGGCAATAGAACCAGCTCAGGAACAAAAAAAAACAATGGGGGGCGAAGTTAGAAGTCAAGAAGTTTCAAGCTGATTAAAAATGAGAGAGCCTCGTCTAATTATAAAAAGTTGGACTCTCTGTTTGTCTGGGTGGGTGTCTGTCTGTTTGTTTGTTTATCCCATCATATAACTCAGGAACCCCTACACCGATTTGCCTCAATTTTTGATTAGGGAACTCGGGAGAGCCACGGAAATGTTCTTAGCTTGGTTTTGAGATTTTAATTTGAGTGGTTTGACTTTAATAGCGAAAATTTAATTTACCGGTAAAATCGTTCAAGTGCGGGTAAACGACGGGAGTAACTTTTAGTAACCTGGGCAGCGCTGGGTTCCCAAGCTAGTGTTACAAATTACTAAAGAAAATATATGATATAAATATTACATGAGATTTAGATAGATATGTTGATAAAATAAAATTAGTATTGATAGATTGGTATCCAATCTCTATCATATGGACAATGGATTGAAAAAAAAAATTAAGGGTTTTCAAAAGCAGCATTGAACCGAAACTTTCTGATAAGTAATCTAAAATGACGTAAAAAAGTAGATGTGTACTTTTTTCTACATATTCTCAAATATACTTAAATTCTTATCACTTTGTTTAAACAATTTTTCCATAATACACAAACAAACTCAATTCCCTTGTATAGAAATGTTTTTGTAGCAATAAATAATTTTATTTGGTTTAATTTTTTTTGATATTTAGTCAATAATTTAGATATGCAGATTGATGAAGTCAGTCATAATAAAAATCCCAAAAAGGTGTGCTACAATGTATTGCAAAAAATAATTTATCATTATATATATCTATATAATAAAACAAGACATTCGTATATATGTTGCCTATAGCCGGTAAAACGGCTGGACTGATTGGGCTAACATTTTTTGTGGAGACTCACTCACTTTTATTTTAATTTTTTCCGCGGGCAACGCCGGCCAGGCCCTAGACGTATATATATATATATATTCATGAAATCATTTTTCCTTTTGTTGGAAAGCCTTATAGCTTCATAGAATATAATTTTTAATGAGTTTGACACATGTTATACAAAGATGTTGCAGAGCAACATTTTAAAATGACAAAGATCTTGTCCCAAAACTCTTGACAGAGGATAATTAACATTTTTTTCTGGGGGGGGGGGGGGGGGGAGTACAACTGAAAGAAATCTAAAAAATATTAAAAGACTTAAACTCTTTGTTTTTTTACTTCTTAAATAGATAAAGATTGAATATACAGATATTTAGTAAATTTGCTCTGAAGACAGTAGCTAACCATCTTAGCTTAAATAGATAATGACTTTAAAAAATAATTACAGGAATTTCACATCTAGAAGGTCCTCCATATTTTAGCAAAACTAAAAAAATCCACCTGTTATAATCATTGATATAACATGGATATATATATATATTTTTTCGTTTACTTAAGCAAAACATACAGAATTTACAATAAAAATAATTCATGCTAACACATCTTAAACGATTCAATATGTTATAAGTCTTATGATTAAGACATTATGCTTGATATTTGTACAAAATGAGGCTGACACATTTTGTGAAAAGATTGAAAATATCCAGAACACAAAATCCAAAGAGTACTCCAACCCAGCCTCCGAACTCTGCAGCAAACTCCCAGAATGTGTAGATGTACTCACTCCTCAGAACCTGAATGTTCCTTGGCTTCCTGATTATCAGATACTTCAATAATGTTTTCTAGAAAACAAAAAAAAATAAGAAGAAAAAGAAAGTTTTAAGAAAGTAAAATAAACAAACCGATTTTTCAGTGTAGAATAGTTCCACATTGAGGATACTTTTTTTACAGGGCTGCAAGCACTTACTCAGACCAAGCTTAAAGTTGTTAGATAGCTTTGTCAATTCATTTTCATACGCATTCTTAGCAGAATTATATTCATCTGAAGTAATGACAGATTGAAGGGAGTGACTGGCAATTTATGGCAGTTGAACTAAGATTGCAGTATTATTGAGAATTTTTTAGGATTCATTTCAGACCTATCAGCCGTTTTAACAGTGGATATTTATTCTGCAAGAACACTAATGCAATCTTTAAAATCCTCATAGATTGTTAATTTTTAGAGGGATGATTTTGAGAATCCATTTTATCTAAATAATTCAATGAGGACCACCAAACATGTCACAAAAATTCTACAGTAAACTAATTAGTTGTTTAGGAACAGGTTGAGAAAATAAAAGATAACTCTTGTCATCGAAATAAGCAATCTTTTTTAGCTTTTGGTATGTGTAATGTTTCAGTGATAAAAGCCATTTTCTGTAGATTTCCTGGAATTTTTAATGAAAAGACAACATTTGAAGAATTTGAAGAAATCTGCAAACAAATTTATACAGTTTAAGAAGATCAATATAATGACAAAAAAGAAACAATTTATTCTAATATTAATTTATTGACAAATTTGTAATGAGAGCTATGTTCCTAAACATATAATAAGTTTACTGTAGAAATTTTGTTGCAGTTTTCTTTGTCGTTTTGGAATAAATTTATAAAACCATACATTGCCAGTCACTCCCTAGTGGAGCCAAAATTAGACAATTTGATGTGGCTGGATTTTTATTTTATTAAAAATATTTCAACATTAAGTTTCCTTCTTTTGAACTAAACCTATTTTCAATGTAAATGTTTCAAAAAATAATTTAGAATCATTTGACTGTTATTATTCCTGAGATTGGAGGTAGTAATGGAGCTGGTGGTGGTGGTGGTGGTGGTGGAGGAGGAGGTATTCCTGCTACAGGAACAATTGGTGTTGATGAAGGCATTTCTGATACAGATTTAGTAGTTAGTGGAACTTTTTTGTAACTGGTATATTTTGCTGGCATAGTACATTTCTCAAATTTATTTCCCAACTTCCTTAACAAAATTGTCATCAAATTTTTAACAGAATTTTTTAATTTTTATTCAAGTCAAATGTACTTCCTTGAAACTAACATAAAAATAATATTGTTGTGCAAAATAAGCACAGGTATAAACTTGTAAAAGTGTATTCTTACTTCATATTGAAGTAGATGCATCCAAAGGTTTTGTTAAATTCTTCTCTAATAAAATCATCTCTGCATAAGTCAAATTCAATTGAGGAAGAGCAAACATTCTCTTCTTCGATCCTTTGAATCTGTTTAGCATTCAAAAGGAGAATGTTGTTGTCATTCAACACATGTCCTGCAAGCTTTAAAGAGGTTCCACCAGTGAGAAAGCTGTGATCATGAAGAAAAATTGCATCATCTCTATAACCGCCTAGATGAACAATTTTGACTTCATCTCCAGTAAAACTCATGGTTTTGCATAAATAAACAAAGTATTCTTTTTCCTCCCATGTATACATTTCAGACCCAGTATCATGATATTCTGTCCATTCAGTATCTTCTTTTCCTTTTTGAAATATTGAGTCAAACCTATGCAGTTCTGTAATATTATCTATAGGCCAGGAGAGCTTAGAATTACAGATTGATATTGAAATGTTAAGATTAGGATCTGTTTCCATGTATTCAACTTTACTTCCTGTCAGGTTATTCTCCAGCTTCTGTGTTGAGAGTATTAACTGGTAGAGTATAGCAGCAGAGAGTACAATAACAATAAAAAGAAACATTTTGAATCCAACTTTTTGACTGAGTTTACCCCTGATCACATATGCAAAACCTAACACACTAAACACAAGATTCAATCTTAAAGAATATTAAAAATCAAGATAGTTAAAAGGTATTTAAGTTCACACATGGTCATTACCAATAATCACATAATTCCCAACACAATCCCAAATGGCATCCCACAAAAAGCTATTTGTAACAGAAAATTGAACTGTTGGGATTAAAAGTAAAAGCAACAACTAAAAATAGTTAAAAGATTTTCTCTGGGTTATAGGACCAGCAATTAAATTTTGGGATGGAATTATGAACAAATGACTGGTGGAAATGTAAATATTAATTTGGCTTTTGACAAAAATCACTTGGAACGGGACAAAAAATTAATTTATGGAAATTTATTGATCCCTGGTCACTCAAACAGTATGGATAGGTTTAGTCAATCCTTACATCATTAAGTCACAATTCTAGAAATGAAGAACTCCTGACCTACTCATCTGTTTTGTTTTTAACTTAAAGCTGTTTAAAATCATGTCTGTCAAACCTTATTTAAGTACACAAAACCAGAATATTTATTTTACCTGTATCCTAGAAGTAACCCTATCCATCCTCCTACTTCTCCAATAAGAGTTATTATGCCATAAGATGAAAAAACCTAATAAAACTGCAAAATTAGAAAAATTCATTTGGCTTTAATAGGTCAAGCTTAAAGTAGGTTTTCCAACATAAATGTACTTTCACTTGAACTAAATTACATGCAGTGTTATAAAAATTAATGCAATTTAGCAGAATTTTGCAGAATTTTTCAGAATTTTGCAGAATTTCAATTTATCTTAGAAATTTCACTCTTACCTCTTTTATCAGTGTTGATGTGGGAAATTCAAGATCAAAATTAAAAGGTTGAATATTACCAGTCTCAAATGTACTCACACCATTCAAATTGTTCAAACTTGTGAGGGTGAAGGTTGTCTGAAGCTTTAGATTTGGGTCATTGCAACCACCTTGTCTTCTTATATTTTCCAATTGATCAGCAACAATTATAAACAGTGATTCATCAAAGCCTTTTGAAACCCTCCTATTATCCTTGGATTTCAAAATATCCTTTATGTCAAGATCATGAAAGTTCTCTGACACTTTATTTAGAATACAGTCATCATAGGAATAATGTTCATTGTATCCATCTTTAAACATCCTTGTATGATTCAAAATCTCAAGGTGGAACAAATGTGATGAAAAGGAAACATATCCAGTGTTTTCACTAAAAGAACCAAGTCTCAGAGGTCAAGTGCACTTATGCTTTTAATAACTATTTATCTCTTCCTTACAGGGAGGCAATAGAGATGCAGTAAATATAGAAGGGAATATTGCATTGCTTAGGCTTCCCAAGACCTTGTTGGGTTCAAAAGCATCACAAGTGTTATGAGGGGATGCTTTGGGTGGGACCCAACAAGGTGGAGGGAAGCCAAGGTAATGTAATATTCCCTTTTTATATTCATTGCATCCTTGTTGCCTCACTTGATTGAGGAGATATATATTTTTTTTAACTTTCAAACAAATTTTATGGAGATTTTCAAACTTTTAAACAAAATAAAACATCTTAATCTGGTTTCAGGGTTGCAATGTTAATATCAATAATTCAATAGTGTCAAAATTTTGTTTATATGATGAAAAAATATCTCTTAATACTGCATTTAGTCAATACCCCCACCCTGACAGTGTTTAGTACGGCCAAGCCTTTCTTTTAGCTATTTTTAAATTATAAGGTATATTCCAGGAAATAAAAGTTAGATTTTGCTTTGTATACATGGAGGTCTGGTCAATGTGGATCCCTTTGTATCCCTACCCAAATTACTAACAAGTTACCAACTTAATTAGACCCTGGCAATCCTAAATACACACAAATGTTTCACCTGTTTATATTGATAGTTTCTTTGTTCATGAAGCTTAAACCTTGTCTGCCAGACCTGAGAAGCTGACCAGTTATATGAACATACACCCTTGATTCCTTCTTTGCTATGACTTCCATTCTCTTAATTCTATTCCAGTGCTTTAGATCCATTGTATGACAAGTCTCAACAAATGTGTTCAACTGAGGTGTGTTGAGAGTATAAAAAACATTGGTAAAATTTTCTTCAAATTCTGAGTCAAAAGCTGTGACAAGTTCACCAGTTTTGTATACAAATACTATCTGTGCTATACTGTCACTAACTTTTGTTAGGTTGGTCCAGAAGCTTGAGGAATTACCAATGTAAGCACTACCATTATAAACATTCTTGGTTGAACACAGTGCAATGCTAATATTGGGTAACCTGTTTTCTATGTAGATGTCTGTAGAAGTCTCCCCTTCAATTACCTTAAGACAACATTTAACAAGAATAACTGCAACTCCCATTGAGCATGCTATTTTCAAGATTGTGAGACATTTTGAAAACAAAACCTGGCAGCACATATTCTTGTTTACTTTACAAAGTTTGCTAGATGTAAACTCAACAGCTCCAAATAATGAGACTCCAAGGAAAAGTCCAACCCATCCTCCAAACTCTGCAATGAAGGAAACTAAGGTATAGCCTTCATACATTTCAGTATAAATAATTGCAGATGGGATGGTCATGTAATATCCAGGAGCAAACGTTTTAATGAAGTGTTTTGATGTCACTAATACATCAAGCCAGTTTATTGGAGTAAGCCTCATGCCAACATTCACCTGGGTACAGGACATAGGGCAACTGTGCACTCCAGTCTTATCTAAATCCAGCATTTTTCTCATTAAAGATTTAGTATTATAAGAACGATTACATTGATCATGCATTTGAAGATAAGTGGAATATTTCACACAAGAGTCAAAACTAGTAGCTTCTTCTTCACATTGTGTGCTCAGAGAAGAAATGAGTTTACTGACTCTGATGGTTAGTTCTGTATCTTCTATATGGTTGATCGACTGAATCTGTACAAGTCCATTTTTTGAATCCGCCAGAAATTGTTCTTTCTTGTGCACATACAAATTTACCATTCCTGCTCAAAATATAAATCTTTTATAATTAAAATTATAAATATTTAATGTCTTATTATGATCAATAAATTGGATTTATTTGAATCAATCAATTAGGTTCACCTGCATCTTTAGTAGGATTAATTCTTAGTCTTGAGAAATGTGAGATCTCTTGAGTCCAAGTATAGCAAAGCAGTGCATAGTTACCAACATATGGGTACATTTTTAGCCTTAAATATCCATAAAGTACATTGATTCTAAATTTTGAAGTAAAGGAATTGAGTCTGTGCCTTTAAAAATTGACTTTAAAAATTGATGCTAAACATTTCAAACTTTGAATTCTGTTGAACAAAAATAATAAATTTGAAATGTTAAAAGTTTACAGCATCAGGTTGAAAATATATAGGGATAAAAAAATTTAAGTCTTTGGCATAGACTCAATTCCTTTATGATAAAACTTCAGAGTCTGTACTAGCTAATTCAACGATGGCTATTGCATATTTTTTGAATTACTGCCAGAAAAAATAAGTGCATCTTCCTAGCAAAATTTAAGAAATAGGTTAAAAGACCCCTTTTCTAAAACCCTTGATTTCATTTATCTCTATACCTAAAGTTTAAAGTTTTATTTTCCAACTGTGAAATCCAATTTGTACTGTTAATCAATACTCCGTCAAATTGTAATAAAAAATCTGAGATCCTAAATGTGACTCCTGTCTCAGCTAAAACCTGTTCCAGAAAAACTGATCTTGAATGTTCATCTAACCCACAAGAAATGTTCTAAACATTTTGTGAATTTTTTGTCAAAAATTATTGATAAGATATATTAGAATTAAGGGGATTGGTCCAATAAGGTTTTTCTGTTGTGTATTGGGGAAGAATTTAACTTTTAAATTAACTTTTAGAAATGTATTTTCTAGCATTTTAACAATTAAAGTAAGATCAAATATAAACTAGAATTCCCTCCAAAATGTTTGAGATAATTATGACGAAAAAAGAAAAATTAGAAAAAGTCTGACAACCCAGTCAGTTTCTTTTAAAATTTTCAGCTTAAGAAGTTTTTTTTCCAATCATACAAATTTCTTAACCTGAAAAATTCTTTTTAAAAAATTCAAAAAAAGTTTTACTCTCACTTATTTAAATTTACTGATGCCTGATTTAAATTTACTCATGTTTTTATTTAGGTTTGAATTCATGCAAAACATGGTATTTTTTTTGAATAATTTTTTTTTCTCAAGAAAATTTTGTTTTAAAATTTAAGCAACATTTAATAGTTTATGTACAAAATACTTTTCCTTTTTGCCTTAAAAAATTCCATATTATTACAAACATTTACGAAAAGAATTTCAAAAGATCAAATTATCTAATGGCCTTTTTCAGTCTTATTATGGATACAAGATGTCTACTGTAGTTTGCAAAACAAATTTAAAAATCTTGAAATTCTTTAACTTTACCTCTCTGTTGCATTTTACCCAAGGTGTGTTTCCATCTACAAGAACTAGGTAAATGTATTAAGGTGGAATAAAAATCTGTTTAAACACTATTATTTTGGTTCAGTGTTAAAAAATTTTTAGAATATGTTTTTTAGATTGTATTTTGTCCCATGCCATCCAAAAACTTTTAACACATCATGCCAAAAAAACTAGTGTGTAAGATAATCTTGTAAACTTTTATACACTGTGGTTATTTCTAAATATCACAAACTTTTTGGACAAAGAAGAAATAAAAAAAGTTATTTCATTTTTGACTAATGTGATGAAATTATTGTAGAAATATCCTGAATTATTAAAAGAAAATACATTATATAGCACAGGGCTAAATTCAACATATTAGCACATTTATTTTTTATTGCACTGTTTTAATGAATTTGAATTTGAGGATGAACTGTGCATTCAAATAATCACGCGCACAATATTATAAAATATATTATGAATCCATCCCTGCAGTTGTTGTGTTCTTAAAATATTCCTCAAAATCAACTTGTTTGCAGACAGACAAATGAAGATCAGATTTAGCTTCTAAACAAACAAAAATCAACAAAAAAGACTACTTTAGGTCAAAAGAAATGTTCATTAATCTTTAATAATCTATAACTTTTCATTGGGGCAAATTATTTCTGAACAAAGATATTTACATGAAGATTATACAATCAAAGAAACATGTGGTTTGATGTGTCATCAGTCATCACTTGCTCAAATGGATTTGATTTATGTAAAATTGCGGGCCCTGTAATTTCATCGCCATTCTGCGCAATTCAAGAACAGTTGCATGGAATTCCGCACAGTTGCGTGAATTCCGCACAGTTGCATGCAATTTAGTTTCATCGGAATCCCGATTGGAGACCACTTGCTTATACATAGAGTTTGTTAACCGTTAGCAGCAGCTATTCTGCAGCAAAATGAGAGTTATTTGGCAGGTAACATTATTACCCCCGAGTATTATATCAGGGAAACCTGATACCTTATCTATATTCCTTCTAATAACTATTATCATTTTATGCACACTTCGTAATCAAATAAAAGATTAACTTTATCGTTCATGAGATTCATGAACCTTGTAAATATATATATACACATGTCCTATTTGGGTGCCTGTCACGTTGGTCACCCTATTTGACCTGTAACCTTATGTTTCAATAAATAGTTAGTCAAGTGTGAAACCTCGCGTTGAAGAGACCTGGCTTAAACCCTACGTAGAGAAGACAGAAATACAGTGCGTTTTCTGTAGTTAATCTTGACTCGGGAAGACTGGCATTTTGTGACAGGAAAAATTTAGTTCAGGAGCGAAAAATATTTGTTCACTTACCCTGCAGAGGAATTTCCAAAGCTTTAGTCGAGATCGGGGTTTTTATATATTTAGTTGCGGTATTGTATCCTTGTCTCATTGTGATACCAACACATATTCCAATAAATAAAACCTTTATTTCCATCTTGACTTATTTGTGGGGATGTAAATATAAAATTTCAAGAGGAATTCTAATTAAAAGAGAAGCATGTCCGATTAACAACGGTATCTTTTTAACAAATGTCTGTGATGAAATATTCTCGATTTTCGATGTAAAAATTGAAAAATTCTGATTGTGTTTTCTATTTAAAGGTACGTTGGATTATATACGTTTTTAATACATAAAAAACAATAATATCTTCTACATCATTGAGAAGATTAAGGTTTAACTGGACAAGCCCTTTTAATGGAAGGGTCCTTCAAAGGAGTGACCGGCTATGTAAGGTAGTTGAACTGAGTATGCAGTGTTAAGGAAAACTTCTTTCGGGTTCATTTGAGACAGATTAAACTTTTTAAAGATCTGTAAATCCTGAGTTTGAGCACAAATTCGATGTTCAAAACTCCTACTTTGGGGGTGAATACGTTTTCAGAATTAGTTTTTTTAAATTATTAAATAACGACGACATAAAATATAAAAAAGTTCTACAATAAACTACAGTTTTCGCAGATTTTCTAGAATTTTTATTGAAAAGACGACAATGAAAGAATTTGAAGAAATCTGCGAATAAATTCAAAGAAAATTAGAAATTCAATATAATAATGAAAACAAAATAATCGATTTTAGCCAAAAGTAGGAGTTTTGAACGTCGAATTTGCACTCAAACTTAGGATTTACAGATCTTTAAAAAGTTTAATATGTCTCAAATGAATCCGAAAGAAGTTTTCCACATCACTGCAAAGTGCATACTCAGTTCAACTACCTTACATAGCTGGTCACTCCCTTTAAATTACAACGTATAGTCCCATTAAAGGTTTCTATAATTGGTTTTGATGAGAAAATTAACGAACGGGAAAATTTTTGTTAATTTTACGACTGTTAACGAATCTATTTTAAAACTTTATTCTTATAGGCATTTTTGGGATTTTGGGATAAAAAAATTACAAAAAAATTGTTTTTCAAACATGGTTCGATTAGTAAACCTTAAAACTCAAAAGGATATGAGTTTTTCCCACTAACTCAATTTTTCTAATACCTATATCTTTGAAACCTGATTGAGTAAACCTTTGATATTTCAAACTTGACCTTTTTGACCTAACATAAATCATAGTTTGAAATATTAAAGGTCTACGACATCGGGTTGCAAAGATATAGAGATTTATAAACTAGAGTTTGTGGCGCAAACCATTTCCAATGTTTATCTAAAAATAAAAAGATAGCAAGCTGGAATTCCTTGAGAAAATGTACGTTTCTTTGAAGAATATTTTCCATTGCCTTGTTGTTCATATTCAGGCATAGATATGCCGATTGAAAAATATTCCCTATTTGCCCACGTATACGTGTACAAAGTACGTAGTTAGAAAGGGTGTACTCAAACTTCGGTCATTTACTATCTTGTAAACTGCGAATATATTCACTATAGTGTAATTTAAAATGGCTTCAAAATGAATGACGTTCACTTGAAAACTTTTGAAAATAAACAAATTAATTTTCTTTTTTCGCATTTTTTAACACACCATACATTTCGTCGTCCAACTAACTATATATTTTACTTGTATATTGAAAAAAATTAACCATTTATGTATATTGAAAAAAACTAACAATTGATAATATTAAACGAAGATTATCTGTTTCCAATAATTATTTCCAAGTAATTAGTATAGATTTTTTGTATACAACCTGCATGATTAATATTATCCAATAAATAATACTAAGCTTTCAGGGCGATTCGCGCCCATCTTTTATTTTAATATTTTCTCTTTGTATATTTTTTAAACAAAAACAAATACGGTCGCGGTTTTTTTTATAAAGAACCTGTCAAATCATTCGTTGGGATGTTTAGAAAGATGAAAATTTCCCTGTATGATAATTGAAGGACTGTAGTATGGTTTTGGTGAATTATATTGGCGTACAAAGCCTAGGGGTGTCAGAAATGATTTTTTTTGCATATTTTTAAAAACTTCTATAAAACTTTTTAAGTTTAGTTTTTGATAAAACTTTTTGTTCTGGATGATTGCAAGTATCTATCTAAAACTTTCTTTCCCCCCCCCTAGATGTTGCCCTTTTCGTCAAATTTTGAGGGGACTGTGGAATATCCCTGTACAAATTCTATACTCTAATCTTTCTCTGGTTAAAATCAATTATTTAAGAAATACATTTTTGTTGAATTAAAAAATAAGATAATTCTTTAAAACAATTATTTTGCATAACAAGATTTATTTGTTTAATCGAATTCACTTAATTTTTTTTTACTTTCTTGCTTTCCGCGTAAAAAAACTATTGAAGTTTTATCATGAAATTTAAACTGCATAGCGGAGGCTCGGTGGTGCAGAACAAATCTGGGTGGCTCAGGGCGACCGTGACCCTCTCACGTTTTCC